GTCGTAGCTATTTAACAAGAATTAACGTATGAGGCCCATGAAATTATTGCGGAGAAAGCAGTATAGGTTTGGAATATTCGAATGCAGTCGTGGTACTACTTACCCTGTCCTTCGCCCTTGATTTTTTCAATCAATCCCGAGATTTTTTCAGCTGGTCCGCCAGGAAGTTTGTAAGGGTGTGCTATAAGCTTATCCACATTCAACCTGAGGAAAGCTTCGCCATCAACTTCTTGTTCATAAAAAACATTGAAATGTTTATCCTCAAGTCTTAAGCGTTGTGTGCGCAAAAAACTTACTAGGTCTTCTGTTTTCTCCAATCCTTCAACTTCGTTGACTGTAGGAAGAGGAACTTTTTCTCCGGCAGAAGTAGACATGGTTATTTGAGTTAGCCCCCAAAGTTCGGGTCGATGATCGACGTTGATGCCGCAGCTGCCGCAGCATATAATATATGATAATCAAAATCTATTCCCGTTATCATTTTAGCACCATTTCGTTACTTTAAACAAGAAGTTAGAATGTTCTTATATATTTTATTTAACTCTTTTAAACGTTTTAGTTGTTTTCAAATTCTTAAAGGCTTTAAAAAATATATATATAACTTTTTTTTAATAAGTTATTATAGTTATATAAATGAGATCTAGATTTAATTTCTATTTTACAGTATTTTATGACGAACCAAGCGTCGCCCAAAAATCAGTAACGCATAGTGTCGTCTCGGAATTCGGCTAACCTAATCCAACTCTCGTGTAACTTACGGCGGCTAAGTCGAAACAGGCGTGTTGGATCTGGTGGGTGGATTCTTGTCCGTAGGTAAGTACTGGTCTCCTCTTTGAGTCTTTCCTTCAACCTATCCTTATTCTAATTCTTATCTTCTTTTATTGTCTCAACCCGGGATTTCACTATGTCGAATCGGGGTTGGAACTCTTCTCTTTACGTTTTCGGTTTACTGGTCGCTGACCATGGCGAGCGATCAATTGCGGGTTTAGTTGTTCTTGGATGGATGGATAGTGTTAGTAACGGGATTTTAATGATATTTACTAGTTCTTAGGGGATAACACTGTTACTTTTATTATGGGTCGGATAGTTAGTTTTATGTTCGTAATTGTTATTTTTCCTCCTTTTGCCTGGGCGAGTTGCCCTTTATTTATAATAAACTTTCTTGTCTATTTACATTATGAGTATATCGAACATATCTAATTTATCATATATATCGCATATATCACACTTATGCGATATAGGAGATATATCAGATATATCAGATTTATTTGATATATCTGACATACCTGACATTGGGGATCTATGCCGCGTGATATGGGTCTCACAAGAGGTATTTAAATAAAATATTCCACAGATAATTTTGTAATTATTACATTTTATAAACTGATATATTTATAACAAATTTTTTTTTTTTTTTGAATGATAAAGATCTTTTCACATTTTATGGATTCTTTTCACCAATTACCACATCATCAACTGATCTTGACTTCTCTGAACATGTTAAGTACATGAGATAAGGCTTTTTACTATTTTCAGGTACCCAAGTTACCTGTCTTTGTCTTCGCCATTCCATGCTTAGAATATCTTGTTCCATTATAACCAATCTGCTTCATTTCATCATAGCACTAACTTGTCGTCAATTGTTAGCATTTTTCTCTGAGCAAATCCTTTCAAATGCCTGCTTAAATAATTCCCAATTTGCTTCTACGTAATTATGAGCCTTTCCATCCAGATTTTCATCTAAATCAGCATTATAGCTACTGGAAAAATTATCAACAACATAGGTTTCGTCAGCGTGGGCAGCAGCTTGGACTTCTGGTGATGTGGTTTCATTGGTGTTGAGGTCATTCAGAATGAGGAATGGTGGTGTGGTACGATGCGTAAACCCACATCTAATTAAGTGTTGTCTTTTTCCATTGGGTGTGTCTACAGCCTGCCTTACTAAATGTTTACATAACAAGAAACGATTCCTAACAAAAGCAGGGCAGCTGCAGACCCACTGAGAAACTTTGGTAAAGTACGAACCATTTGAATCTCCTATATCAATGCTTTTCTTTCTTTTATTGCTATGCATCTTCTTTCGTTCCTCATTATTCGCTCCTGCGTAGTTCCACTCCCTCTTAAAGTCTTCCCACTAGCATGGCTCCCTAGTGCCAGACTGAATTTGTAAAAACTGGTCCTTTTGGGCTGGCACTACTTCTTTTAGAAGCGTCCACAATAGGAAATCTAGTCTAGGTTAGTTAAAGCGCTATAAATAATGTCGCTTAATAACACTCCAGTGTGCTTCGATCTTTATTGTGATTTTTCCGTATGGTATTATAGGCTTGATTGAGCGTGCCCAAAGATGCCATCGTTGTGATGAATACCAGTTGGTCCAAAGATAAGACCAAAGTAACCTAAAAAAAAGAAGAAAAAAAAGGTAAGAAAAAATATGAGTGTTACTTATATGTATAATATAAGATATATTTATATATTAAAAATTTAGAGCTGACCGTAATTCATATTCAACACAGAAATTATACATTTCTTCTACAGCATTTTTTCTAATGGTTTCTGGTTCCACCATATTCCTGTATGCATCTATAGGTATCAATGGATGCAAATCGAAATGCTTTTGCATCAGCTCTAAAGTCTTCTCTCTAAACATAGGCGGGCAAATGATGTATGATTGTGAATTACGATCCTCTTCTGTCGGGTAAAAAGTAGGATATATAAAATTATATTCACTGGCTGCTTGATTAGCATTATAAGTTACTGTCACTAATCTAGAGTTGCCTGATAATTTCGCTTTCTCTTCGAGTTTTCGCTTCACGGCTCGCTTCATATGCCAGGCACATAATTGGACTACGGAATCACTTCACACTTTGGATGCTGCATTTATTTCAGCAAAGTCCTTATCAATAAAGACGAAACATGGGTTTATGTTATGCAACTATTATTAATTTATTATATTTTTTAAAAATTTAAAAAATTTTTTATTAACATTAACAAAATTTATTAATTGTTATTTTATCAAGATTTACCTTAATGGCCACCAAAAACTTTTCTAATATAATACGACGTTTTCCGGTGCTTGTGTTTGTATCCTTTGCCTTTGTCGTATCCATTATAAGATAGGCAATAGGAAAACCAGCACCATCAACATAGCAACAATGCCATAAAGTTCAAAACGGCCACATGTAGTTTTATATGTTGCATCCATGTAAATCTCAGTAACATGGATGCTGAGATTATTTATTTTCTTAAGTAATAGGGTTATAAAAGCGATTGCTGTGGATTCCGAGTCTTGTAAATCCAGGCATTTAGAGAAATCTTGGGTTATGTGTTCATCAAGCAGCCTACGTGCGGATTTGACCTGATCATCATGTCAGTAGTATAAGTTTCGATTAGTTATGGTCTTCCAATAATGTATGTGTTTGTGTGAATATTTTGACATGTCGAACCCTTTGGATCGCAGATGGCTTATTAATTGTGTCATGGTAAGAGATGCAAATTTTCTTATTTCTTCTTTTAGGTCATCTGGCATAGTACTACAAATATCTGGGCGTTTATGAAGAGATTCGTGGCGAATATTCGCCTTTACAATGCCGAGAACTGTATCAACCCGTAAAGAAATTTTACCTTTGCAGTTGTAGCGAGCATATCGTTTACGATTTGAATCTTTGTGGTCTTCGCTTTGTGCTTCTCTGGATTGACAGCACAGGTATGTGAACCTGCAAACTGTGCTGCCATATTTTTTCGATGATTCTGCCTCTTGATAACTGTGGTAAGTTATGAAAATATCTTTTTTTTTAATTAAAAAAAAAAAAAAACTGAAATTACACCCAGGAATAGTCGTCACCACCCTCGATTTCAGCAATAACAAGGTCAGCAATTTCCTTCACCATTATGCTTTGATCATTATCATTCATTTTTATTAATAATTGCGTTTTATAAGCCATATTAGCTACCTCGTCAACATTCATGCTTTCCATTAATTCTTGAATTTCATTTGCAATGAAATCGCCTACTTCACAAAAGTCAACCTCAGCACATTCAGCATGATCAACATGCTCTGCTTCTTGACCAGTTTCAAATTGGTCAATTTGCTCGTGCACAGTTGAATTCACGATTAATTGGTCAATTTGCTTGTGCACAGTTGAATTCACGATTGTGGTTTGAAGATTCTGCTTATTTTTTTTTCGATCTCGATTCTCTTTACATTTAATGCACGTTTGGTGATGAACACCATTCCAAACAAATAGTTCATCCGAGCGATTTGTTTTACACTTGTTACAGAACTTCATTTTGAATATTGACTAATAACTTAATTATGTTAAGGCTTATGTGACAATACTTTGGGACTGATTTGGAGCGTATACGATTTCGACTTTGAACTTTGAATATCGCTCCTGTTTAGATAAGTTCATATTTATACAAGTTTCCAACATTTTTATTATAACTTTTATATATCGTAATTGTCTTTTATTAGAGTAAATGATACAGTGTCGTTGCATATAGAAGAATTGATAAGGCTTACAGATAATTAAGGTATCACAATCATAATTCGATACATTCATTTAAACACTTTATTATCAATTAAGTTATTCTTAACTATACGTATAAAAAAATTTATTTCACAAAGTAGAAGTATCTATTCTATTTCATCCTTCATTTTTTTTAATTACAACTTTAATTCAAAACTTGTTGATATGACTAAGACAGATGTGTATTAGACTGTGGCCTAGATGTATTTGATTACATTAAATTAGATGTTCATGAAAAAATAAAAATGAAGATAATATGCAAGATTATGGCCTAGGCATATTTGATTGTATTAGAACAGGTTCCGTGAAAAAAAAAAGAACACATTAATACTAGAGTGTCCAAACATATGCGATTTCAGAAAATTTTTCATTGTTTGAACAATGAAAAATTTTTGAAATCGCATAAGTCAGAACACTCTAGTATTGAGTTATAGTTTACTTTAATTGAAAAATAGCCATGCGTCAAGAAGAATGTACGTTTATTGTTTAGTAATTCTTTAGTGTTGAAAAGCAATATAAATGAATGCTATATTTAGACAAAAGTGAACGAGGTAAAACATTTGATATGCACACAAAAATATTTTTTTTCGTGTACAGTATTGCGAAGTAAATACAATAAAAATAATATTTAAAAGGCAATTATTAAATTGTTTCATTATACACGATTATTATTTTATTAAAATAATAATACATGTAATCACATGTAATAAATAACAATACATATAATTAAAACAATACATCCTAACAACTTTAAATATTAATAAAGATATTTAATTCTTCATTGCTCGCACATTCTATTTTTTATTTTTTTCTCTTTTTTTATTTATTTGATTTTTTTTATGATCGTCTGTCTTTTCCGCCACAAAGATAACCCAACTTATTATTTTCACAAAAACCTAAAAGCAGAGTTTGCAAAAATACCCTTATTAGTTTTTTCAATATAAGCTTATCCATTCTTAAGTCATTATGTCAATGCCTCTTGCAACTAATATTACTTCATTATTATCATATTGTTAATGTCATATTATAAATGTAACGTAAATGATATTCGAACGGAAATTCAAACGGATATTCGAACGGACACTTTTTTTTTAAAAAAAAACCCCCAAATTCATTAATAAATATTGTAGTGTGTGCAAACTAAAAAAGAACAAACTTGTCATAACTAATATTCAGTAACACTTCCTAAATCCAGCCTGGATAACTCGAACATTTAATAACCTTCATGAAAAAAATTAGCATTTTATAAATTTTATTAAGTTCAGTTTAAAGATATAGTAAACTTTTTAAACCAAACATTTTGAAATTATTCTATATAAAACCAAGAGTTTCGGTATAATCAGAGTCGACTATAGTATGTTCCTTTTGAGAGAAAAGAAATTATTGCGAAGATAAAAAAATTGTCATCTACGTATGATTGCGTGACGAGATATAATACGTATATATATGCTGCGGCAGCTGTGGCATCAATGTCGATCATCGATCCGAACTTTGGGGGGCCGCCCTGGCTAACTCTTTATAGTTTATACAAACAATCAGATTGTCGTACAACAGATCACGTATGCATAATTTCTGAATCTCCAATCATACGTGTGATATCATTGTTCCTTTATAACAGTGATAAACCATATTTTAGTTGAATGGCCCAACATGTGGAAATTTCGATTATGGAACTAATTGTCATTTGATAATAAGTTTTGCTGTAGAGCAGAATTTTATTCTAACAAATATCTTACATAAACAAATTCTCATTATATGGAAAAATAGAAAATAAAAACTTATCGTTATGCCTGAAGAGGTAATATTTTACTAAATCGCTAATTCTGATTTATTTATTAATTATTTGAAGTTCTCTTTAGAAAATTTTTACATTCATACTACTTATATATTCCATTCGCTACTTTTTTGCATGTTTTGCAATATAGGTGTGAATGGTGATTGCATTCGTCACAAACCTTACATCTGCGCTTCCAACCTTTGAAGATATGCCTCTTTTCGATATAATTGTATCTTTTTTTATTTGTTAATGCATTATCGCTATTTGGATTTTTCATTATTATATATTGCAGAAAAAATAATATATACATGGCTAAAAAATTTTTTATTATACAAACCTGTAATGTGTGGCAGTTATGTTTATGATCAATTTACAAACAAATTATACGTGCACCTTATAGAGGTTGTACAATACGTGTCTTAAATAAATTATATAAATTATGCATAAGCCATAAGGTAGTATTGATGATATGTACTACACAGACCTCAAACTGAAAGATCATAATAACTTTTGATTTTGATTGTATAGCAATGAAGTTTCGCTTCGAATTTATGACCGGACACATTTAAAAATCAAGTAATAATAGAATATAACTTTATTATAAGAATGAAAATGGGTTAGGGTGAGCTAAGTAAAAAACTCAAGAGTAGCAGACATTTAAAGAGAGGAATTACTCGAGCCCTAACCCATAAAATGAGAGTTCCTTCCCGCTACTCCGTATTATCTGCTAAGTTAAAATTATTTTTACTATCTATCCAAGCACCTATTTTATTTAAAGTACTACCTCTAAAATCACCATTATTATAATAAAAATTTTTTATAGTTTCCTTACTAATCTTTCCCATCCCAAGACCATGAATCTCAACAGACATTGTATTACACATATTGTCGAAAGAATAATTATTGTCTGTCATAATCTTATCAAAAATAATTTTAAAGTGATTTTTGGTTGTTGAGGTAATATCAGAAAAAGATAATTGGCTTGAGCTATTGAAAGAACCCAAAGAAGAACCAGAAGATCCAGAAGAAGAACCAGACGATCTTCAGGGGAAATTAGACATAGGTAAAGATGGACCAGCAAATTCTTCGGATCTTAATGGGGTCACAGAACCTGTCTCAGTTATTTGGTCCAACTGATCACGAAGAGATTCATAATTGGCTGTAATTTCTTTAATAGTTTCAATCATGGTATTCATCATTACCATGATTTTCTGTCCCTCGACAACAAATGTGATATGTCGTGTTGTAAGATCTGCAGTTAATCTTTCCACATGTGTATTGAGTTCTGCGATGAGTTGTTGTCTGATGAGGTACATAGCGAAACATGTGGCAATAAAAATCAGGTGGATAGGGATTTTCTCGGCGAATATCATTAGGCACACGAAGACCAAAAATAGGACAACTTCTGAAACATTAACCGAAGACATATCTATAATAGGAAAAAGATTATTAGTAAAGATACACGAGCATGGATAATAACCTAGCATATCTGCAACTCAAAATCAACCTTAATTCATATAAAATAGGTGAAATAAGTGGAGTTTATTTTGTTGCTCTTAGCAAGACTATTATGTCTAAAAAGTATTTTTATTATTTTAGCAAAGTTAAGGTACAAGATGCGAAAGCTTATTAAATGGTTTATTTTTATTTTTACTAATATTACTAATAAGAGCGTAGAAAGGAATGACTAAAGATTTTTGGATCCCTTTTATATAAGATTTCATGACTTAGAATCTGATTCATTGTATCTGTTAGTAAAGGCCAGAACATACTGGAAAAAAATGCTAATTACGTTATTATTGCATTATTATTGGATATGAGCATTTGATTCAGATAAAAAAAAAGACCCGATTCTAAAGACTAACAATATGTGGTCTGGGTAATATAAATCAAGGTATGTGATATTTATTAGCAGAGCAAGCACAAGGTGCTAAAGCTAGTATATCTAATGAACATTTACAGTTACAATGATAACCATCACATTACGATCCTGATTAATATATATATATGTGGATTTTCATACAATTGATAACTGACTTCTGAAATAACATTAGGACAATACATGATCTTATTTAGAATTTGACTCTCGCAATGCTACTTAATTTTTGGTTAGATATCAGATATAATTTTACCACTCAAAGTATATTTAGAGGTAAAATTATGTATAATCAATCATTGACAAATTTATTCTATTTTATTAGTAAAAGTAGCAAGACTAACATATCATTCCTTATATTATAGAAACTTTAGTATATAGACCAAGTACTACGTATATGCTACTGAGAATATGCTAGAAAGTTTGAGCAAAAACACAACATGGATATTATTTTATGGTGATCGATTCATTGATCCAAGATACATATGACATCACAAATGCATGTGACTTGGAATCTCTGATTCCTGCTCTGCTAATGGGATCGTGATCTAGACTGTCAAAGTATATGTTATTAAGGGCTATAGTCAGATAAGTATTTGCAATTAATCATATACTTTGCTTATTTTTATATATTTACACTTTTGCGACTAATAAATTTAATTTGCATATATTATAAAAACCAATTTCAGATTTGGCAATCCGTTCATTTATTAATTATTTAGTATGAGAGGATTACTCGATCTTTGCTGGCAATTTTCAAGTTTATTGGTATTTTAACTCATGAAGTAAGGAGGCCATGCCTCTAGGCCCTTTGGATCATTGCTTCACAGTCCCTATAGGGATGACTCAAAGAGTCAAACCCCCCAAAGTGACATTGTGTCATAATACTGATCTTGTGCATCTTTCATAGTTGCTGATTGATTTTTTTTAGTCAAAGTTGGAAAGTATGCTAGTTGAACTTTAAAATCTCTATATTTAGGATCATTACCTATTTGCTTATGGCTGGTCAAATTATTTTTGATACGGAATACAAAGTTTTCCCAATGATTCTTACTATTAATTTCATATCCAGGAATTAATAAATGTTTACGTATATATTTGGGTGGACAATACTTCACAAATCGTAACTAAGCTTCTGGTGTTTTTAGATTATTGATATAGTTTAAACCATATTCAGTTAACATATATTGGGTATAACTATTTTTTGTCCATTCCTCAAAAATATCTTGAATATTGAGTGAGTTGTATAAATGCATTATATATCAAATATATTGTTTTATCTGACTAAGACGTTTTTATTTCATTTACTAAATTTTCACTCGCATGTATCTTAACTGATTTCTCCACTAGATAAAAAAAATAAATTGTGAAAGTTTGCTGAAGATAGCTAGATTGCCATTGCTTTGAGCATCTGTTCTACTTCTTTATCTGACCTAAAAAATAAAAATGCCTTCATATATTTATTTTATCGAAAGAGCTAAGACATGA